AGCAAAAATAAAAGTTGATAAGGCCTCGAACAAAAAATGACAAGATGATAAGATAATATATATAACTAATAATATAATGTCCAATGATGTTCAAAACATGTGTAAACGAATACATTTCAGCTGCAGAAAGTCTTCTTCAGTTCAAAATAGTTTTTAAATTGATATTTAAAAATTATCTACATAATAAACAGTATGAACTACAGTATTATCTTGTAATATTTTTGGTCTTGTTTTTTTAGCCTCATCGACTTTAATTTTTGCTTTAATAATTTAAAGTATTCAAGCTTATTTTCTGGAAGACTTTATTTTTTGAGTCGTGCTGTTATAGCGATATTTAAATATAACCGTATAAAATTATATTTTTATTCTGAATTTTAGCGCAAATTGTGGATCATCTAAGATATTCTTAGGCGAGAAACAATTAATTCTACGTGTTCTCGAGGTCTTCGAAGTGAGTAACAATAGAGTGACTATAACCAGTAGCTGCAAATAAATACTCTGCCGCTTTGAAAAAGAAGACTGTGGCTGTCGAGGATTATAAAAAATTTCGTCTCTGCTGTCAACAGAAAAACGCGCTAGATTAAAATAGATCAGCAAATAATAGATAATATAATAAATAATAAATTAGCAGACTATGACACGCTCGGAAAGCTACATTTGGGACTCCATTATCTGAGCTAATTAAAGAATTGAGACTATTGTCATCTTCAGATGTATAACTTCTTTTTTTATCTTCGCTCGTTCGTTATTCCCCACACTTATTCATATCTCAACAGGCTCTGAGGCACCAAAGCTCCGATTCAGATTCTACAAACGCACAATGCTGATAAACATTTCTCGATCGTTAGAAATCTATAAATATCTACAATGATATCAAAATTTACACACGTTCCTGAAAAGAAAGTCATATACGAGACGCAAAAAAATCGATGAATTTCATTTCGAATATTCGCGATCTGACAATTCCTTCGTTTATGAGAATAATTTTCCCTCTCTGAGAATAACTCGAGTAAAATCATTTTGCTGAGCAGAGTGCATAATTATCGCAAGAGCTCTACCTGTTTGATTTGCAGAATAATTTCCTGTTAATAGACAAGCGACGATACTTGATTGCCTATTCAGCCACATTGCATCCCTTTCCTCTATTCACTTCGTAGTAAGATAACAGAGTTTGGAATAAATAAGTAATAAATAAAAAAAACGTACGTTCCGATTTTACTTTAAATTCTTAAGGGCACCTAAACAACAGTGATCACATAATTTTTCAAATTTTAAATTTTAATAGAAAAAATTTGATAAATAAATCTGTAAATTTAATAAATAAGATTAATATACATATACATAGAATAAATTTAAGAAATAAGTTTAATAAACCAAATAAATTTATAAGTTTAGTTATAAGTTTAATAAATAAAATTCTTTATTCTGTGTTTAGTTTCATCCTAAAATTTTAGCCACAGGCACAGGGCTAAAACGGCCCGTCGGCTACTCTGACGCGAGCTTATCGGGACCGCACAAGATAAGAGGACTACAGTTTTCATAATCTACTTAACGATACGTTCTTTTTCGATTCGTCATCGAGATGTGAAATAAATGAGCAAAAGCAAGGTATTGCGGCAATAGCTTTCTGATTTTCTTGAATGAGTCACGTCTTTTCTTTCATCTAATGGACGCGTCGCGAATTCGAGCGATCATTGTAGGCCGTGGATAATTCAGTTGGTGATGATCGAAACATTTTCTTTCTTTCAGTAATAATTGAAATGAGAGATTTTACTTTCTGGAAACAGTCAGAGAAATTTTTTCGTCTATTTCGCTTTAAGTTTCAAAAGTGTATACTAGATCGGTTATAGAAAACTTATAGCTATCAATAACAATAATGTATTCATCAAGCCATATGGGAATAACTAGCCCTTTGTACTTTTTTTAACAATAAAAAAAAAGTATTGTTATTATAATGTTATATTAATTAATCTTTCAGAGCTGAAAAATTTATAATATAATTACGTCAAAATCTGTATAATATAATTACTGATGCTAGATCTGTAAGATCCATTTAGTTTATAATAATTAAAAAGTTAATATATTAATTAATTGAAGGAATTAATAAAATAACAAAGTTTATATACAAAAGAATGATGATTAAGTATATTTTAAGGTTCCATCAACAAATTTGAAGATGTAACATAAAGAAAATCGAATTATTTGATATTTTTTACAAATAGATTTATAGTTAAATGACAGGATCTAATAAATCATCAGATTCGGAGAAATAAATATTTATATTATTAAATTATATACAGGGTGTTAGTTAAGTATGTTCCCAAACCCAACAGAGCGATTCTTTGGTTTATTTCAAGTAAAAAAGTCTATATAAACATGTATCCTAAACGACTTAGTTTCCGAAATACAGGATAGGTCGAGCAGGAACTCAACTTGGCCTCCTAGATCACCAGACTTAAATCCTTTGGATTATTTCCTTTGGGGGCATCTGAAATCATTGGTTTATACCACCCCAATTGAGAATGAGAATGATTTGAGGAATCGAATAGTTGCGAGGCAATACGTAACACATCTGGTATCTTTAAGCGTGTACGTCAATCTTTGAGAAGAAGGGTCTATGGATGTATCATGGCGCAAGGTGGACATTTCCAACAATTCATCTAATTGTTTTATTTCGTCAGAAGAACTAAAGCCTGTTTTCGTTTTTCTGTTTTTGACTAGTTTTTGACTAGTTCAAGTTGTATTTCTTTCAAATAAACAGATTATTACTACACGTTTAAATTTTTTTATTTTGGAAACTAAGCCGTTTAGGACACATGTTTATATGGACTATTTTACTTGAAATATACCAAAGAATCGCTCTGTTGAGTTTGGGAACATACTTAATTAACACCCTGTATATTATAAGGTACCTGAGCCGAATAAGGCTCAGGGGGGCACTATAAATAAAACCCACTTTTAAATTTATTACTTTAAAACTCGCTTTACGCCCGTTTAAAAGTATATGCTTAAAAGACGTGTCATAGGAAGTAGATAAAAAAGGATTAAAGAATTGGAATCGGTAGCAATACGTTTGTTTAATACAACAAAAACTTGTGTGTATGAGGCTAGTATGAGCCATTCTTACAACAATCCGGTGTAAAATTTACCAGTATACAATGTTTCATAATTTATTATAATTCATTATAATATATTCATATAAAATTGATAACAACTCTCGAGAATGTCATAAATGAAAACAAAGAGAGGGCTAATGGGAGTTTTTAATCGCAGTAATTCTTGCGATAAAAAAATTTATTGCATATTACGATAAGTCAGATGTTTCGGCTTCCTTTCGAGCCATCTTCAGTATATCTGAACTATACAATATAGAGTAACTTCTATGGCTAAACGAGAGTGACCATTCATTCCATCTTCACTAATTCGTGACACAAGGTTGGCAAGTCTAGTGGCAACAATCGAAGATGAATTCTGTGTATAGAGAAAAAAAACGTTACTTCAATGTGTGATTAAAAAAATGACAAATGAAACAAACAAGCCACTCACCCGTACAGCCATGAACAATTAATTAAAAATTAAGAAAATTCCGCAAAATGTCTATATTTAAAATTAAGAACGTGATGTCTAATACAAGCATGACAACGATTAACAATTGAATGAGTCAAACTGAAATGAACGCTCGAAAACAATAATCGAGAAAGCAAGAATGTCAATCTTCACAAATTTACATATTATTGAAAGCATAGATAATAAGTCAAAAGACTGTACTTATCATAATTTAAAACATGAACTATATAAACGAAGCTAGACAAAGAACTCGACGGAATAAAATTAATGTAAATTATTGAGAATAGAAATATACGCGTGGTGTAAAAATTCGGTATCGGATTGTAAATTTAAACTATTTTTTGTAACTGTATGTACAACATTTCAGCAATACGTCGCTTATATAAAAACCGTTCACTATCCATAATCTCAATGTTATCCCAATCAAAGTCATGGTTACAATCCAATCTGTGATTTGTGATAACAGAATGATTGTTGCTATTTTTTCGGATATTATTTCGATGTTCCGTGATTCTCGTTAAAGTCCGCTTTGTCTGACCGATATATGAAGCATCACAATCATTGCAATTAATCTTATAAACTACGTTCTTTTTTGACATAATAGGTACCGGATCCTTATGTGTTTTTATAAAACAATTAAACTTGTTAAGACTGAAAAAAGCAAAATTCACATTAAGATCCTTTGTGATGTCTCTAAATTTATCTGATATCTTCGACACAAAAGGAATCGAGAACTATGTCTTCTTTATATCATCTGTGGAAGTTTCCTTCTCACTATCTTGCTTCAACGTTTTTTCATGTAATAGAGATTTAAGACGATCATTCATTACATTAAAAAAATTCAATTCACTACCACCTATTTCCATCGTAAATTGTACACGAGGATGAAATGAATTAAATACTTGTAAAATCTCCGAAGTTCTGTCAAGAGAAGCTTCCATGGCAATATCATCTATATAACGTACAAAGAGTGGTATATCAAAACCCAAAATATCCAAAGCTTTCCTCTTTAAATCTTGTAGTACAATGTCAGCGATTACTGGAGATAAGGGTGATCCCATAGACATTTCAAATTTTTGTCTATAAATGACATTATCAAAAGAAAAAAAATACAGAGTCAAACACTAAGCGTAATAAAATAAAAAATTCGTCTTTAGAAATATTAGTTATTTTTGAAATCAAGGGCCATTTATGAGAGATGCTGTCAATATCCAATTCGATCGGTATGTTCGTAAAAAAAGATACAACGTCAAGTAAAATCAAAATAAAATTATCTTCTAACTTTGTTTTACTCAAAACACTAATCAAATGGAAGCTATTTTTTATGTAATTAAATGAATTAACGCTGACTTCGTAAATTATTTTATATAGAAAAACTGCCAAGGGATATAATGGACTACCAATAGCGGAAATAATGATTCTAAGAGGTGTATCTGGTTTGTGGATTTTCGGAAGTCCATAAGCCCGAGGTAACACACCTTCACTGACATTTAAATCATTATAAGTATATTGAGAAATAAACTCTTTTTTCTTCCATTTAGTCAATAATTCTCTCAATTTTCTAGAAAAAACATAGGTTTGACCCTTTTTAACAATTTTGTATTTGTCCCTATCATCCAATAAGGCAAGAGCATCTTTTGTTTATAATCTATTTTACTCATTGCCACAGCCACATTCCCCTTGTCAGCTCTTGTGGACATAATATCTCGATTACTTTTTAAAAATTAATTAGTTGCCCTCCACATATCAGCTTATCTATTTTTCAGACTATCAAGTTGATTAAGACCCGAAGAGAGATTACTAATGATTGGCATAGCATGGTTCCTGACATCCAGACGACTACTAATATGTAATTTGTTAATATTGTTTTCTATAGTTTTAATAAATTCTAATGTGGTTTTTTTAACATTAAACGGAGGAAGAAAAGTTTTGTAGTAAATATTGAATATTAATTGAAATGTGAAAAGAAGTTAAATTAATAGACCAATTATTTTTCAGATTAGCCAAAGACGAATAAAAACTATTCAATCTAATATCAGAAGAATCAATGCGAATCTCAACTCTGTTTCCATCTAAGTAGTGATCACCAGGTCTAGAGCGCACAGACTCATCCAAAACCTCATTATTTTTTATAACAATGTTAGATCTATGGCAATGATTACCATTAACTATGCTATAATGTATAGGTTATAATATATTCAATTTCCTAACTATGGAAAATAACTAATAAATCAATTTTTTTAAATAAGTGTATAAGTATTTTTTTTTTTAAACAATGTACTTATTAAATAAGGTCCACTTATATGATTATTATTATAGTTATTATTATAGTTATTATTATTTGTTTATTATGTGTGGAGTTGCGCTAGAGAAAATAACGATTTTCAATGCTACTATCTTTTAAGAAGCCAAAATTGCATTTAAATTGCTAGAAATTTCCAAAGATTAAAGAGTTAATTACAAACAAAATTAAAGATAATTGTAATATTTGAGAATAGAGTAAGTCCAAGGGAATTTCCTTTCTATGATAATGTTTACTTTCTTTGTTATTTTTAATTAATTTTTTATTTGGGTCTTATTACGAGATATTCATATGCATGAAATAAGGCCCAATGTCAGAGTTTAACAAAATTTTTTTTCGTTCATTTACACATATTCTACATAAACAATATATTTTATTTTTGGAAGCGAATGAAATGACGATTTGATTCTCACTTAGTTTATTTCAATATCCCCATAAATAGAATTAAAAAAAAAATAAATTAGGTGGGCCTTAATCGGGTCGGGTACTTGAGTTGCTAAATTCCTCGGTGAATCGCATAGATCTTCTCTCTTTTGCCAACTTTCGATTAGTGGTATCAGGAATAAAGAGACAGAGATTTACGGAAGAATGCATCTCCTGCTGTGAATGTATAAAACGAATATGTAAATGCTTCATTTTCAAAGTGCTTCGCGATTTGAGGTCGCGCGGTATGCCTCCGAGGCGCACTTTCTGCAAGGGCAAAACTTTCAAGATGAAACTTTTCGGTACGGTGTTTTCGCTCGCACTCCTCTTCCAATCGGCGTTTTAGTTAGAAACGTCTCGGCCCCTTCATTCGCCGATCGAGAATCGATCTTTCGCATTGCCGCAGGATTCCCCATACAGGGCATCAAAAGAACGTCCTAAAGACGTCTTGAGAACATCTTTATGTCTGCACTTGACCCAAGCAGAACAACAAGTCACGATAACGTCAAAATGACATTAAAAATCGGAAATGATTGAAAAGTAACTTTTAATGATAATGATGACCATTTTAAAGTCATTTTGACATAATTTTGATAATACATACATAATGACTTGTTCTGCTTCTGAATGTTCTACCCAAGAAACACACAGAAGTCAAGAAAAAATCAAAATGATTTTATTTTGACTTTTAACATGAATAAACAATCAAATTTTATAACCAAAAATCATTATTTTAACTTTTATGACGTTGAAATAAAGTCATTTTAATTTTCCCTTGATTTGTTATGTTCTTTGGATTTCAATCCATAAACACAATTAAGAGAAAAGAGTCTTTAAAAATTAATGGTAAAACAGGACACTCCAGCATCCCCTTAAGTCGGAGAATCTTCATTTCAAGAAATATTTTTTTGTTTACCTGTTTATCTACATATGATGTAAATATGATGGTGAAACCGGTCCTTTGTATATAATATATCATGAGTATAAAAGATTTGATATCAACAACAGACGCCAAGTTAAATTTTATCTATTAAATTAAAAAGTAAAACACAAATGGTACTGTTTTTTGTTATTTATACAAGCTTACCTTTTTAAAAAAAGGTAAAAAAAGCGCTAAGCATGCGTGCTTTTCGTAAAAATTATTTGGGCCGGTTTCACCAACGCCAATTACCTAATTCGCCATGGAACTGACTAATCGCGTTTGCTGTTTAGTGGAATTGACCACTTATGGTTGACATTTATGATTTATGATTAATCACATTTATGATTAATATCAACAATTGGCGCTAAGTTAAATTCCATGTAATTCGGATACCAAATTAAATAAATAATATTGACTTAAATGATATGTATCATTCCTATAAAGGGTTTGATATATCAAGAACTGACGCCAAATTCCATTTCTTTATTTACTTAATCCAAATAATACTATCTTTAATTTTTATACAATGAAACCTAGTGTACGTATATCTTATTGAAGGATCTTTCTATTCCAATCCAAATGATTTAAATTCCTTTTAAATGAAATTATTATATCACAATTCATTCACACACAAAGACATTTTCTCTTCCAATTAAAGTAGTATTTAATTCTCTTTCAAAATAATATACAAAACGTTACCACAAAGTTGCGTTATCTTGCTCAATTCTCTTGCTCAATTAAGTGTTATCGCAAAAATTAAAGAGTTAACCGTATAAAATGAAAAAATTTAATTTAAATAGAAAAATTTTTCATGTAAAAACACTCAGAAAAATATCTCAAAAATATCTCAGAAAGTATTTATTTTATCAAAAATAAAGTCATTATCAAAAAGAAAGTTCATAAAATTACGAACAATTCCATTTTTTTTTTAAGATTGTACAATTAATACTTTCCGTGATATATTTTTTTTAGAATGTTGTATTTTTGGTCATTTTGACAATTCTAACTTTTTTCGTATAAAATATTTCAGATTTGGCTACATTTACATACAAAATAGTTCTTACGAAGATTATTAAATTTCCTACAAAATCGATTTTTATTCATCCTCGTACGACCAATAGTTTCTGAGATACACATCTGAGAAGGGTTTGCTTGCGTAATTAGTCTAAAAAAATATTGTGTTTTTGTTTATTTGTACATTACTCGCGTCTGGCAATGTATTTTGATGATATAAACAAGTAAATGCAAACAGTAAATTATAAATTATATATAGACATAATAACCAAGCTTATCCAGAATTTTTTAATCAAAATTTATTTCGGTTAAAATATCCCACAAACTAAAATCGTAATAAAAAATCTAATGATAATTTTATTGTATATTCGAAGTACGAGCTCTCGATTACGACTAGTCCGATTAAAATCTTAAAGATGTCTGTACTATCGTTGAAATCGTAATTTTTGTATAACAATTACTTTTTTCTTCTTTTACAGATTTGAAAATCCTTTTCCACGATTAAAGTATACACATTAATACGTGTCTGTGGAGTTTATGCCGAGACTCAAGTAGCAAAGTGTCATCAAAATGACGTCTTTTTTAGTCAATATTAGCCCATTACAAGCGCGCGCTACGCGCGCGAAACACATCTTCATGAATAAATTATAATAATGCGCTATTAATACGCTCTCGCAATCCGCAAAAAAATTTTTCGCTCATTCCGTTTAGCTAAAAAAAAAATTTTTTTGTACGAGGTTTGAGTGGGCTGCTCTCCCTTCACGTATTAATAACATTTGGACAATCAAATACACAGGATTTATGCGCTATTTATGCGCTTTCATATTCACATAAGGTTTGTTCTTTTTGGTTGAACTTTTGCACCAGTTTATCTTTCTTTCTCTTTTTTCCTTCTGGAGAGAAAAGACAGAAAGATGAATTGGTGCAAAAGTTCAGCCAAAAAGAACAGACCTATAGTTTCAATTTTTGCGCTGTATTCCTTAAGCCACTTTCCTCTTGAAGCTTCCAATCCGGTCAAAATAAATGGTCTTGGAGGTTTTTAGTAAACATTTTGGCTATTAAAACATTTCATATGACATATTGCAGAACCCTTTAGGAATTGTTATTCATGAGATGTGAAAGATTGAAATATTTCTGAAAACTTTCTGAAATAATGGTGCTGTAAGGGCAGAAAACCTCTAACACTATATTTCACCGAAATCGGGCGATTTTTGGCATTTTCATTTCCGTCCGCTATATTGAATTAGTTATTTTTAATTTTTCTATTCTATATTGATTCAACCATTTTGAACTTTCAAATTTTAAATCGTATTCAGAATCAGACACTCTAAAAATCTAACGCTACATTTCGCCAAAACCGAGCGACTTTTAGCATTTCCGTTCGCTACATTGATTCAGCCATTTTTAATTTTCAAATTTGGGTTTCTATTTTCAAATTTTAAGTTCTGATTCGGCATTAGCATCCCCGAAATGTCTTTAATACCACATTTCGCTGAAATCGGAGGACTTTCAACATTTCCGTCTACCATATTAATTCAGCCATTTTGAATTTTCAAATTTTAAGTTCGGATTCAAAATCAGTGACCTTGAAGACCTCTTAACACTACATTTCGCTAAAATCGGAGGATTTTTAGCATTTCCGTCCGCCATATTGGTTCAGCCATTTTGAATTTTCAAAATCTAAGTTCAGATTCGGCATCAGCGACTCCGAAAATCTTCTGATGCTTCATTTCGCTGAAATCGGAAAACTTTTATCATTTCCGTAAAACATTAATCCGCCATATTTGTTCAGCCATTTTGAATTTTCAAATTTTGAGACCGGATTCGAAATCGGCGACCTCCAAAACCTTTGGATACAACATTTCAACAGAAACGAAGTACTTCAACAGCTTCAACGAAAAGAGGCTTCAGGGTAGATAACACGTCCTTTTAATTTTAAGAGACGAATATCACCAAAGTCACATCATAAAAGACGTCAAAAACGAAGTGATAATGACGTGCATAAGTCACAAACCGATGACGTGATAGTTATGACGACAAAATAACGACATATCTGTGACGAGAAATATACGTATCCAGGAAACAAGTTGACGATATTTGTCGCCATTTTGATGTCAAAATGACGACAAATAATGTCACTTCCCGGTGAGAACATGTACTTAGATTCCACGTGGATTCAACGTGGACTGGCATGTGGATTATACGAGTGACAGTCCACTCAAAAATGGTACTAGAATTCACGTGGAAATCGAATCGATATTTCTAATCGATTTTTCCTACAAGATTCCTCGTAATATATATATATCTTTCTCCACCTAAAAATTATTTATATTTAAAACTAAAAAATTTTATTTCTATTTTAACATAAAGTTGTTTTATACAAGATGTCTATAACGATTTTGTCTGAAATTAACTATTTAGGGACCGATTCTATAACTCTTAACGACAGTC